TTTTTTTTTTTTTTTTTTCCTCCTTTTAGGAGGAGGAAAACTCCTGGAATGTTTAAATGGGAAAACAAACAGTAATTAGGTGCTCATTAACTGCAGCTGACTGGAGCCTGCCTGATAGCCAGGTGACTGCTCCTGAAGTTGAAATGTGCTCTGCTTGACACACGTTTTGTGTCACTTTGTCCAAGAGTGGCAGGGGAAGAGGATGGAAACAGGTCTCTGGAGTTCTGTGGTAACTGCAGAAGACAGCCCAGGGAAAAGCGGATTGTTTTCCATGCCTTGATGGGCTGAACATCTTTAGCCTTGATACTAAGCAAGCGTTTGTTACTTGCTTTAGTTACAGGGTGTCACTAGTTGAGTTACACCCTGTAAGCAGGGTGTGCATCCTGTGTGATGCAGGAACAACTTAGTGCAGAAAGTGGGAAAAAATATATACGGTGATGCTTTCGTTTTTTTCACTGCTATGCAGAATGCAAAGGGGTCTTGCTTCATTCAGCATTGATTAACCTGTGTAGTTCTTTACATGATTAGTAGCGGGAGACTCAGTTCTTTGCACTTTTTTTTCAGTGGTTAGACCCGCTTAGTTGCAACGAAGTATAGCAACCTGAGACCAAGCTGCTAAGAAGGTAAAAGGCATCATCAAAAGCACACACCAGACTGAAACTTTCAGGGGAACTAAAAACTACCACAGACAGGGCTCTGTTCCTGTTTGAACGCCAAGTGCTCTTCCCTAAGAGGCAGCTCGTTTATTGACATTTTTTTTTCTTCTTTTTCCTCCCTTTTTATAAGGCTTTGCAGATGATAATACCAAAATAGATTCATAATGGAACAGTTAAATATTGTGGAATGAAAAGGGGGTAATTTTTGTGGAAATTCTGAGTCTTGATGAATACTCCTGTGGATTTATGTGAAAGGAAGACTTGGCACATATGTGTGTTTAATTTTCTGATGGATGAAATCTTGACCTTGTCAAAGTCATTAGCAGCAATTGCGTWGCCTTCCCAAGCGCTCAGCTGTTTCTCTGTGTTTTCAGAGAGTTTTGGACAACTCCAAATTAGCAAATGAAGGGTAGTTGAATGGGCTACGGTGTTTCTGAGTCCAGAAACTTGTGCTGCTTTACATACTTGTACAAAGAAGAAGTTAATACTTCCTGTTTTTTAAAACAAAACATTTCTTCTTTGACCTCTTTAGTCTCTCTTTTTTTTTTTTCTGCCTTATTTATGTATTTTTCTCTTGCCTTAAGGTATCTGTGATGATGRGATGTGATAGAAGCTGGTGGCTGCCCACTTATCCCTCTTCCCTCTCTAGCCCCAGACTTATCAGAGACCGTGGGCTTATCCTACTGCCCAGGGAGTTATTAGTGTGCTCTGGAGTCCCACTCCTGATGGAAGAACCCCTGTGGGTTATTGCAGCTGTGAATTCACATTGATAACCTCCAACTTGGCTATAAATTGTGATTAAAACGTGTTTTTTCTTCAGTAAACTACTCCCTTTTTTCCTTCTTTTTTTTTTTAATTATTATTTTTAAATGCTCTCAAAATAGCCATGGGGACTTCCCAAGAGAGTRATTTCAGAAACTGAAAGAATGTTAGCACTTTAACTAGATACACCATTGTTTGTTTGAAAGCTTTTCATAATACCTTATTTTTGATGTTAAAGGGTTACAAAATGGATTTTTTTTCMTGATACGTACAAGTAGAAAACTGCATTTAAAATCCCAAGTTCAATTACCAAAGGCAAAAGAATGGGCTCAAAATTTATGCTCTTCTGGGATTTTAAAATGAGTATTAGCAAAATCATGCTGTAGATATTACTGACTAAAAAGGTTGACTGTTATAAGGTTCTGTAGATCCTCGATTCAGTGCTCTGCAGAGCAGCCCAACTATGATTAGGAAAGGCAGGTTTTGCTTAGTACACGTTATGAAGTGCCCTGCTTATGGTATTTTTAAGGTGATAGATGCAAGTACTGACTCTGAGGAGCTTGCTGAAGTGCCACGGCAGAAGTTATCAAATAACTTTAAGCTCTGTTCCATCTTTTGACACTGCAAAATATAAGGCTCTGGGAGTGTGCATAGACCTCAGCAGACACTTCATAGCTGTTGTCAGCAAGTGCCTGACCTGACTCTTCAAGGACAAATTTGTACTGCACTACATGAAACCTGTTCTTGATAGGGTGCCATTTACTCTTTAGAAAGAAATATATGTATGCAGGGAGCTGCACTGTCTCATGCTTGCAATTCATAACCTGAGCATCCTCTTATTACTTGCAGTGCTTGGCTGGGAACTTGARAAGCTCTTGTGTGTGGTGCAATCTGTATGTTTCAAAGAATGCTGTTAGTAAAGTGCAAGGTAGCCAGTCTAAAGATGGCTTAAGGTTTGAGTTAGCAGTTGTAGAAATTCTCAGGAAGGAATAAAAAAGTTCCTCTGCTTTGTCAACACTCGGATGCAATCGTCTGTCTCTTGAYTGTAATGCTCTTGGTGAAAGTAGCCTTACGGGCAGCTGACTGGTGAATACTAATGCGGGGGGAGAAAACAACTGTAAAGGGCTGTTTTATTTAGTTTTGTAGTCTTTTCACATGAGGTAATTGATCGCTTGCTGTCTCTCCTGCTATTCTGCTATCTAACCTTTAACAATWAATATCTTATTTAAGTAAAAAAGAAACCTTTGACCACTATTGGCATTCTGGTTTTCATGCTGCCAACATGTTTAGAAATAGTCATGATTTTTAAAAGAAAAAAATGTTAAAAATTCTTAGAATGCTTTGTTAGTAGTCGCTTCTWTTAGGGGGCTTATGTAGATTTTATGCCTTCAATTCTTTTTTTCCTCCAAATCTATAGAATTTCCTTAATTATTCCATTATAAAGGTATTTAAACAGTATAAAGTTTGCATGGGTTTGGTCTTGCAGTGCCAAATGCGTGTGGGGTTGCCTGGAGCTTTCAGAAGGAGCAAGGGTTGTTGTCCAAACCGCTGTCCAGATGAGCAGCGTTCGGGCTGGCTGGCTTCAGGCGCTGGTCTGTAGCACCAAATAACTTGGATGTGCAGACAAAGATGGGAGAAGAGGAAATACCGCGGGTGCTTGTGCAGCGAGTCATGTGAAGGTGGCCAATACCCCGCGGGTCTCCTCGGCTGGAATCCAGTGTTCCTTGCTTGGGGATACCTCGGAGCCTGAGGGCTCCAAACGGCGTTTGGGCCCCTGGTGCTTCAGCCCTTTCAGAGGCGCTTTGGCTTTGCCTTTGCTGCAGAAGCAGCTCCCTGATCTGGTGCCGCTGTAACCTGCCACGMGCCCAGCTCCGGAGCGACGTGCGGGGGTCCCTGCGTGCCGAACGTTGGCCTCTCTGCTGGAGACCACGAAYGCGGAAAGAACTGAGGATTTCCCTCAGCGTGCACTTGCAAGGGTACGGAGTGGTACTGTTATAAATCGCCGAGGGTATTGCTGCACACTATTAATGCAGGCATTTATGAGGGTGCAGAAAAAATAGTATTCGGCAGCAAGATTTTTAGAATTGTAAAAAATGTTCGTAAGGGCTTCAGTTTGCAGRCTGGAATGGTTGGTATCACACTCGACTGGTCACCTGGACTTTTCATTACCTTCCTCTCTGTTTAAACATTAAAATAGTCTTCATCTCTCTCACTTAAAATTGGGTTTTGAGAGTGTCTTTTAACCAGAAGCTGATAGTGTAGGCAAAGAGGGCTTTATTTTTTTGCAGAGAAGGGGAGGAAAGCCCAGTGTTTGGGTCAAACAGTAAAATAGGAAGGGACTGAGGAAGTTTTAAGTGTTGAAGCTGTGAAGATGCTACTCAGGAGAAAGGATGAAGCAGCTTAAGCACAGCCTGGACATAGTGTTGGGTGCTTTATTCAGCATTGCCAGTGTGGAAGAGATGAGCTGCTCGCTTGAATGTGCCCACGTGTCTGCTTCCCTGCCAGCTGGGATGTGTGTGGCCTTTGAGCTTGGCTTGGGGTTTGGTGTGTGCTCGTGAAAAGGAAGCCAGGAYAGCTGTGATAGCTGCATCCTGCATAATTCCTTCTAAGGCAAGCGTATTTGTGGAGATACTGGGCTATCAGATTTTGGGCTTTTTAGATCTGGTAATTCTGGGTGTGAAAATACCCTAAAAATGCATTTGTATACCTAAGTAGCAGAAAAACAGATTCATATTGAGAATCAGCAAAATGGACCAAATGACTATTTATAGAATCCTGAAGGAACTGGAAAGCCTGTAAAACTGAAGTTGATACAAATGTTCGGCATTTGGAGGGATTAGGCTGCCTCATTCATTCTGCTATCTTGTGGTAAAATATGATTGTTTTTCCCAGCAGTTCAAGATAAGATGGGTGAGGTATTGGTGGGGCAGAGAATGCCATTTAATGTGGATTTAGGCCTAATTCATCAGAGACTTTGACACTGAAAGCATAAATACACTTTTTTTTTTTTTTTTTTTGCCTGGAATGACAGACAAATGAAAATGACCTTTTCTTTGCTTGCAGTAGGGGAAATATTCATATAAGTGGTTTGGCATGGGAAGCTGCTGCTGTGATGTAGCTGCTCTAGAGTAATTGCAGATCTTATAATCTGTGTATTGTTAAGAATATTAACAGCAAATGTTATCTCACTGTGGGAAATTCAATAAGGTCTTATTATTCTCACTTAAGACTTTTAGGGCAGCCTTCTCTTAGCTGCTGTCTTTAAAGTAAACTGTTTTAGCAGCAGATGAATACTAGTTCTGTTCAATTGTTCTTGGGTGTTCTCTTTAAGATGGTGCAGGTCTTTGTAAGGCAGCGGCCAGGACTTAACCCCTCTTCTCTGTGGTGGTTCAGGTGCCCTTAACTGGTGGTGATTGGAGATCGCCTGMCCTGTTCCCGTCGTGGATGCTCGAGCCTCCTCCTTCTCAGCCATGTCGTACAGTGCAGCGGTGGGGGATGCCAACCAGCTCGCCCAGCGCATCACGTCCAACATCCAGAAGATCACCCAGTGCTGTAAGTTAYGATTTTCCATGTTTATGTTAAACTGTACTGGTGGTGACCCATGTTCTGGGGTGGTTTCTCAGGTTTCATCCGTGGGAATTYACTCTTCAACCTCATCCACTCATGTGCTGGGCTTGTTGCACCCCTCGCAGTTGATCCAGTCCTTCCCGTGCATGGTTAATGAAGTGAATATCCCAAAGACATATCCTATCCCTCTCTCCTCGCTTTGTGAATAAGACAGCTGGTGGGAACGAGCAAGTTGTGCCCTGGCCAGGAATGGGGCTCCTTAGGATGGCAGGTGAGGGTGCTTAGCAAGGACTCCTCAGATACTTGCTGGTTCTTAGCACTGCATGGCAGGGACGGGAGGCTGAGCCTTGCAGCTTGTCCTTGGAAGTGCCTTTTGGATAAGTAAATAAGATTGTGCAAGGCTTAAGATACCTGTGCTTGGATTCATCCCACTCAATGCTTTAGCCGCTCGGTGTGATGTTTACATTAGAGATAAGTTGGGGCTGCCAGGGGTTTTGGTCCTTCTCTCCCATTCGTGGAGGGCACTGTAAAGAGCAAGTGAGCCCAAGTCTCTTCAGTGAGAATGAAAAAACTCTACAGGTACTATATTTCTGAATTTAAAGTTGTCCATTTTTTTACATTCAAAGTAACTGGCTTGATTTTTCACTTTAGTCCAAAAATGCTCAGTGTTTGTGAGATCTGTCAACTCATTTGAAGCCTTCTTGGTGATCCATTTACCTGGAGTTATGGAGATGTTATGGTTTTCAGAATAAGATAAATAGAGTTGAAGAGAGAAGGACAGATGATTTAGTGTCAGGTTACTGATACACTTAACGAGGTTCCTTAAAACTAATTCAGACTTCTGTTAATATGCAAGGAAAATGTATATGCTACTAGGAAGATCCCTATGAAATGCAGATTGCTTGAAAGGAACCGGATCTTCCACTTGCCTTTTAACTTGTGGGAGAGAGACAGCGCTTCCTGAATTAGGCAACACGGTTTCACAATACAGTGGTGTTGTGCAGTAAGCACTACAAAAAAACGTGGAAAATTAAAGTTGTGTCAAAGCTGAAATCTTGACTATAACATTTCTCCAAAGTTGAATTATTAGCTCCCAGAAAGGAAAATATTTGGTCTAGTTGATCATTAGCTATTTTTGACAAATTATGGATGTGTATACATTGTATGCATTTCATAATGCATCTCTCTGATACTACCATCATATTAACACTTATAGCCTCTTTTGGAAGCTCAAGACAGGAGAGGACCTGTAGGCATTTGAGATCTAGAGCACTCTGACTAACCATCCTTTAAAATCAGGGATCCTTGCTCGAGTTTGTGGTACCAACAGTTCTGCAGCAATAAGTGGTTATAGCCTCATTTAGCAACTTCTAGGCAGCAGAGTCCTTTTTTCTTGGCTTGAAGACATTCAAATCCATGTTTTGCCAGTCGACAAAGTCTGTGGCCTAAGAGCTCCCCAGGGAGTCTTGGGAACTCGTGTGGGTGCAGCGTTTCTCCAGGCCTTTTCTCCAACCCATTCCACTGAACCCAGTCCACCGGACTGCAGATGTCAGTGCTCTTTTTGAGACTCCATGCACTGGGATGATAGCCAAAGTCCTCAGGCAGGAGAGAGAAAGTTAGACTCTGAGGTCTACTCCTAAAAAATGTATAGAGTTCATGTGACTCTTGCTGGATAAAAGCATACAAAACATTAGGAGCATGACTGTCATGTTCTTGAAGGAGATGTTCCTGGGGCAAGCTCGATGAGAAGCAGCTCTGCAGACAGCTAGGGAAATTTCAGATTTAAACAATAAAAATAAAGCTGTGTGTGTGATAAAGTTTGGCATCTCTTAGGGCTTAAGCAGTTACTAAATTTCAGTGTCCTAGAATGCAATTTATGATCAAGGTTTGAAATCCTGGTCTGTAATTAGGTTCTAAATGACTATAATTCCAGGTCTATCTTATATCAGATTTTAAAATCTAGATCACTTACTTTCACATTTGAAATATGAACTCAAAAATGCTTGAGATTTTCCCCTTATTTTCTGCATATAAAGAAAGGAAACACGAAGAACTAAAAGACTGCATATCTCCTTCCAGTTTGGACTTTGCAGGTAGCAAACCTATTATCAAAGTGTTTTAATCAGTATTTACTAAAGGAGCAGTAGTTTCCAAACTCCACTGGCTTCATAGGTGACGCTCTCATTTTAGTAGTAGTATAATGACAGCTGTTATAACTTAAGAAAAATCTCAGTAGCTTCCTTCTTCCTTCAGGATGTAATACTTCTAAAAATTTTCTATGGTCATTTGCTTGCTGCAACTAGATAGTCAGAGAAGGGAAACAACCAAATTATAATAAAATACACAGGAACAAAATGAGCTACAAAAGGTGTTTATTTATGACAAAACAACCTCCGATTTCTTAAAAATCTGAATTTTTAACAGGACTATTCATTTACTATGTTAGAAATATGCCTAGTAGTATGAGAACTTTAAGTCCATATTGCAGTTTTTCTCATGTTGAAGAGCTTGTAGTGAATTCTACAAGAAGAAATCTGACCATTTCAGCAAATGAGAAGATGAAAATTAAATTAAATAAACAAACCCCCTACTTTAAAATATGTCCTATGGTTGGAGGAATTAGGGCCCCATCTATTCAGCTGGGAAGATTGGAGTAATGTAGCTGTGATGGAACTGTGCAAGGTGAGGTAACCAGCAGTTTTTGTTTCCTTTTACCTTCAACACATGCAACACGTGCTACTTCTTAAGTCTTCTTCCTTCAAGTCTTTATTGCATGGGTAGGCCATTGAGGAAGTAGATGTTTAAGCCTTGTTTCTTTTTTTTTCTCCTTTCTCCTCT